GGAGTCCGAAGAAATGCGTCTGAACTTGTCACACAGCCGAAATCAAGTGAAAAAAGAATAAAAGAGAGCTAAATAATTACCCGTTGCTTTTTCGCATTGAGTATACGTACTATGGAAATAAAACTCGGCCAAGGGGAGATTTACCCTTCATCATGTACGTGTGATAACATTGTGCAAAACAGTGACCCAAGTTTAGCAAAGTGTAATGAAAATATTGGACTAATTTTGCTTTTTAATGCAACAAAATTGCAATAATTTTTAATCACCTGGCCAATAAATGCCGATTTTAATCAATCAACAAGATTGGTTATTACATATTCCCAATAAGAAAGGTAGACAATTTGAAAAGAAAAAAATAAGGGAAAAAAAAGGTTGCAACCCATTTCAATTTTACTTCGATAAATTTCAACAAGAGGAGCTCCTTCAATTTAGTGAATACACAACATACACAACACTCTGATCTAATAATCATAATTATACAATGTAAATTGCAATGTAATGAAAAAGTGTGTCTTAGAGAGGATAGCTGAATTGGTATGAATTTTGAGACGGTATAGACTTTGCGCAATATTTTTTGCCACGTCATCTTCTATTTTTGAAATAGGCCAGAACAGTTAAAGGGCTTAGGAAACAAGGCACATAAAAGCAGTTTTTGCCATTTTGAGAAATACGTGTCAGAGGTTTCGAAATTGCAGGTCTTTAGCGCGGAAAGAAGGTCGAATTTACTTTATGGTGCTTAAAAATTGGAATTTGGGAGCGATTTTTTTTTTCACAAAATATACATTAAGACTAGTTTTATTTGAAATCATTAATACCTTGATTTCTTGAAAAACTGTACTTTTCCACCTTATTTACCTCCCAAGCCCCTCAATTACCGTTTTGAAAACTCCTTGTCTGCATCGCCTACCTCACGACAAGTTTTGGCTAAAACCAATCGGCGGACCTATTCTGTCGTGCTAAATAGAACGGTGCATGAAAATTCGAGGGTTGCCAAAATTCTCTAAAGCAAACGTGTATTTTTGACGACATTCGTGCATACTCTTCCGTGAAATTTTTAGATACTTTCTGAGATCAAATTCGTCCAAAATTGTCTGACACTTTTGGGAAGCCATATTCACAATTTCCCAATAAATTCGGTTCCTATCGAAGGAAACTTGGCAACATCTGAAGGCTCATACGGCGTTCTTCCTTACAGGGTCGGACTGGCTTCCATATGAGGGCGTAGACCCTTGGCTGGTTAAAGAGGCGTAATGTGGTATTTCCTGGTAGGGCATCCCCTACGTGGAGAGGGGCTCAGAAAATTTCGGCAAAGCAGCACAAGTTCACACTATTTTCAGGTTCTAAGTTTATTAATCACACAGAGTAAAAATTGCATAATTGAACTATTTAAGTAACCGACTGATTTCTGAAATTAAAGAAAACATAAAAAATTAAAGACACTAGACGCATCCAAGCACCATTATTTCCAAAAAAAACTGAGCCAATGCTGCGGTTTACACGAGCCTAAGCTTAAGACGTGGGTCTGCAGATCCATCTTAAAAAAGAATCAGACAAGAACCTGAAGACAGAAGAAAGAACGAGTATCAACACAGCCGAAGACAGGAATGACGTATTCGGGCCTCTTTTTAAGCTTTTCTTCTGAAACTGAGCGACACCTCATTGACAGCACATAGCAGAGTATTAAGAGGTCATACGCTTCGCGTCATCGCGCCTTCAATTTTTCAGATGCAGCACGGACGTCCATCAAGTACGAATAGTTGTATCTCTGCGCCGTCGTTGACGCGCATCCTTATTTCCCTCGCTTTATTTCCATTGTGTTCGCTTGCGTTTGTCTTATATTCGTAATGGTGCTTCAAACTAGTAGCATAGAGCAGAGCATTGCGAGTTCACGACTCACGCCATCGCATCTTACATTTTTCATATGCAATGTGGACATTTATCTTGCGCGAATAGTTGTATCGCGTTTACACTTTAGATGTCTCTTATTTTTGAATTTCGATATAAATTACGGTTAAGTTTGCCCGAGATATGCTATGGGATGTCCAAATCAACAGTCATTTTAAAAAGGGTGTGTATGTCTAAAAATCGAACCGACCATCGCTTCTAAGGGAGGTACACAAAGCGAATGAAGACGGGGGATAATAAAGCGCCTGTATGTCAACGAAAAGATGAACATTTCACAGAAAAGTGTTTACGCTTCATAAAGTAGTTCTTGGACCTCTGTTCACCACTATCGTGCGTAAAAACACCTATCTTTGCTCCTATAACTCTCTCTTCCTCCGTTCATTTAAGACATTTTCCGCATATATTCTCGGTCGTAATTGTTATTCTCTCCTTATTTTGCTTTCTGTCAGAGGGGCACGTTATTGACGCGCCATGAGGGCGTATCTGCCAATGGCAGATTGGCCTTATGGCCAGTCCGAGCCTGCTTCCTTAGCACGGCGGTATTCGTGATGGTTTTGATGTCGGCTCCCTTTTCCATTCACAAAAAAATTCCCTCAACTAGAGATGGACGATTTGGTTTCCCCAATCGGAATCCATCGATCGTACCCAGAGTGATTTGCGCCAAAGATGAGGATCCATTTGACCTGATGCAGCGGGCATAATGGGAGTGCACGACACGGTGTCCCTTCTCTCTATTTTACTCGAAACCGACGAAAGTTGACCAACTGACCACAAAAGTTAATCTCTTCGCAAGGTTCCCCCGGACATGCCCGCCGACTAAGACGGCCACGAAACACGGAACACGTGGTCCAAACACTTGGAAGTGCTGAGAGTGGAGAGCGAAAAGCGATTTATTTACGATGACAAATACAAGTTGAGCCACGCGCCGGGCCGGCCCACGTGCCGGTCCGCGTGGCGACGAGGGCGCCGCACCAGCCAGAGGGATAACCACGACCCCATTGCTAGATCTCGATCCCTGTTTCAGCGCAGTGGACCTACGAGGCGATTGTCGAGTGTCCCTGATCGATAGATATCATTGCTAAGATAGGGAGGAAGCTCGATCAGAGGTTTCTCGATGACGATAGAACAATCGACCTATTGGTCGATAACTCCATGTTGGTCGAATAAGGCTGAGAGTGGCTCAAGCATGAAGAGTCTGTGCGATTTTTTAATTGTTTGTTTTGAGGTTCTGGTGGTGGCATTCAGCTAGGGATGTCGTTTAGGAAGAAGAGAGTACACCCTCCAGATTTCACAATTGATTTTTTTGAATGTGAGACTTGAGAACTCTGGAGAATTTTGATCAAAATCAAGATATTTTTACTATTTTTTTTCTTATGTTTTGCACCTTACACTGAAAAAAAAACACATTGGATCTAGAATCCAGACTCTTGAAAACATTGACAAGAAAAAATAGGTACTCTCGATTCAATCGGATTGTTGCTTGAATTAAAACGAAATCTGCTTAAATGAAGAGGCTTGGTTCTTGATTCAAGCTAGATTCTGATTGAATCAAGAATACTTTTTCTTGTCGATGTTTTTCAGAGTCTGGACTGTAGACTCAATGTGTTTTTTTTTCCAGTGTCAACATGCAGAATTTGCCTCTTCGGGACTTTCGTCAACCCCTCCTCTAGAGCTCTGTTTCCACGATCAAAATGGGGCATTGATTCGATTGTTGAGCCGTTTGAAAGTTACGAAAATCGGATCCTCGCAAGTTAGCAACAGTCTGCCGCCGCACAGTGGATCGAGTCACTTGGAGAGGTCGGACATAAAATTTTTGGCTAAAACTGCAAATTTCGATGTTTATTTCGTCACATTTTAAATTGCAAGGGCTATTTGAGGCTATATTGAGGAATAAATTTTTACGAGGAAACCAATGGAACCACTTAAAAAATCTCAAACTTTTGTTTAAACGGAGTTATAAGCGTTTAAAGTTTCCAAATACTCGATCCATTGTGCGCCATGCCGCGGATAAAGCGTTTAAACCCTAGAACCCCCGAAAACCCTGCGTTCAAAACGCCTTCACATTCGTGCGTATGCAACATGGACATCCGTGGAGCCGGTTTACCTTATCCAGGAGTTACAGTGAAATTCGTTTAGTGTTTGTCACGTGTGAATCAAACTCAGGGCGCTTTGCTTGCTTCCCTCTTACTTCAACCTAATTTCAGCGTCGACAATAGTGCCGATGAAATAAACTAGGTATTACTGATTTTTACTGCGACTCTCTCAATTTTCTGCAAAATGCATGGATTGTTTAATTGTATCACAACGTTCCCGCTTTGCGAAATCTCAAGAGAATTAGGTACCTAAGCAAGATTCGTAGGGTTTTCTTTAATCTACTTTAATTAATCGTCCTTGGATCGGATTTCACCCCTTTTTGGAAAATACTTCAGACGTTTAACTGCGAAATTTTCAAAGAACAAACTTCGAAGTCAGCCTGGAGTTCCTCGCAAAAAATTCAAGTTAAGGCGCGTTAACAAAAATCAGGTTTTTGTCTGTTTCTTCTTAAGTTTTTCTTTTTTCAGAGATATGCGTCTTTGGGGTGAGTCTTGACACTTCCCCTTGAGCTTTTGGGCCACGCGTTTCTCGCTTTGGAAGTTTGGGCGTTTGGAATTTTGCAGTTTACACATCGAGATGAAAAAATGAGCTTCGGAGCTAATTTTTTCATGAGATAATCTCGGGGCAATAACCAAAATTTCAATTTTTCATTATGAATAATTGACTCAACTCGTTCTTCTGTGTCATTTTTTAAATTTTCACCACTCGAAAAAGATTTACCCATACAATATAGCTAATGAGAGAAGATAGGGGAATCAGTGATTCCCTTGCTTACATGGGCGCCACGCCACTGTTACACGCAATTCTCTACTTTTCACTTTCTTTGATGTAAGTACTTAAACTCTCAATTTTTTCCACGTGAAAAGGAAGTCACAGCAAGGAGTGGGAGTGGACGGTGGGGTAGCGGCGGCTCTTTGAATACGCTCAAGTCCCAATTTTAGAACGAGACTGTATGAAAGTTGCCGATATTTTTAGCAGTTTAACCCCCGATTTGAGCGCCTCTGGTCGATTTGTCAGTCACAACCCATCTCTTGATAGAGCACGGCTCCTCAAAACGTGTCGCGGCTCTACTCCGTGAGGTTAATTTTCGACAATTAACTGTAAGCAACTTGCTGAGATTCTCTAAGTTTACCTCGAATATTTATTTCGCTTTTTTTTACGATACCTATGCTATTTCTGTTTGTTTGGTTTTACGCTGGTGAAGAGTTTTGCTTGTCAGTATTGAGTTTAAGTTAATGTAAGCGTCCGGTTGGGAAGCTTTACTTTCCTGTAGGGTAAGTTCTCGAAAATTTTAGAATTGAAGAAAGTATATTATATGTCGAAGGCAAATAGTCAAATATTCTTACTCCGATTGAAATTTTGATTTTTTATCCTAATTTTAGACAAAATAATTCGTTACTCCCTGTAAGAAAGAATTCAGTGTAAAAATATGCAACATACGATAATATTTTAAACGATTTTAAGACCTGAATGCACATCCCTGGTAAAAATTGGCAGTAGAATCTGTGTTCCAAAATACCATAGACCTACAGCCGGCTGTAAGATTTCCAATAGCTTTTACAGCCGGCTACACAATTTCTTATAGCATTTTATAGCCGATGGCGATTAAGCAACAGCCAGGCGATGAAGTGTATGCTAAACGTTACTAATTACGGATGCTAGGACGTAGAGAGTTTTTGGAATACTGCTCTCTTTTTGGGCCGTAGTATCTTGATTTATTTTTCGAGGAAAGCTCCGTACTTTTGATGGATGCCTGCCATTACTAATATATTAGAACGCCTTCAGTTTAGTATGATACTGTGCAATACCTCTGGTGTGAAATAGTTGCTTCAAGCGCCGTGGCACGCTGCGGCGCGGCAGGCGGGCAGCCATTGCCAAACGCGCATTGGCGCCTACAAACCTAACAGGGATACTTCACGCATTGCGCAATGAGTGAAGTATCCCTGTTAGGTTTGTAGGTGCCAATGCGCCGCCGCTCCGCCTTGTGTTAGGGTCTAATATTTAATCTCGCGGAGTCTGCGTTTTTCAACTCATAACTTTGAAATGTTTGCACACTCTGTATGGATTATTCTCATTTTAATTGATGAAAAAAAAATATGTATTAAAGGAAAATATAATGTATGTTTTGTAAATATTAAGGTGGTTCCGTATCAAACTTAATGATTTCCAAAGCACACGAATATCTACACAATTTCTTATAGCCTTTTATAGCCGATGGCGAAAAAGCAACAGTCAGGCGATAAAGTGTAAAGCCCGGCGATAGGAACTATAGCCTGCCTGCATACTTTTTCATCGCTTCGTATAGCTCGGCCGTACGATTTTCTCCGCATTACAGCCAGCTATATGATTTTCTGTAGCCTTCTTTAGCCGGCTATAAGAATTCCTATGGTATTTTGAAACGCAGCTCTTATCTCCAAATTTTTATCAGGGATTTATCACGAAATTTTCAGCACGTCATAAATCATAGAATTTTCAACATTTTAAAATCAAAATGTACTAAAAGCGTGTAAAAAGGAAGGAACAAGGAGAGTGCGCGGATTCGGAGAGTTATTCTTCCCGAAATATTAAAAACCCGCGAATCCTCGTCATACATTTACAGAATTCCATAAACTGTCAAAATTTGACTATCGGCCCAGGCATTTGATAAAATGCCTGATTTGACTAATTGCCTTCGACATCTACATACATTATTTTATTAAAATAAAACAAACAAAAAAACAAAAAAAAATTGAAGTAGAGAACAAAATGACTCGAAGTATCATACTCTGCTGAAGCACGAAATCTGAATGCTGTTAGAGAGTCATTCTAAGCATTATTTGTAAGATTTCTACAAATTAGAGACCATCGGAATATTTCCATCTACTAACATTTAAGTAGTTCCGTAAGTCTTAAGTCTGATGGTTTTCCTATACTGATTGCTGAAAATATACCGTCCATTTCTTTTTCATTTTTCCTCTTCCTTCTGTGTTTTTTGGTTTGTTGTAAATATATCGCAGGAGTCTCTTGATGCCGAATCTTAATTTTGTGTGTGCTTGCTTTATCCGTCAAAAAACTTGATACTTATATGCCAACTCTGCCATGCTAAAGAAGAGCGCCGTATGAGCCCTAATTTCGTCTGATAAAATACGAATTTTCAAGGCAATTTGTGGAGATTTTTCTCCCGATTTTTCCAAGAATTTAATTTGCTCTTTAATCAACGGTATCTGAAAATTTCAAGGAAAAAAGGTATTTCATAAACTTCCTTAAAAATAAACGTCTTATAGGTGGAATTTTGGCAACATCCGGATGTTCATGCGACGTTTTTCCTTAGTACGGCAGAACTACGCTTTTATTTTCAGCCACATCCTTACTATAAGCTCTCTCAAGGGGAGGGGACCCCATTTTTTAAAATTATACCCACTATCGTAATCTGAGACCTAGAATGTCACCAAAAATCGATGTCCCTATCAGGCACTACATAACGCATGAGGCGCGAAGCCGCCACGGGAGGCTAGGCTGCGAAGCTGTCAGGGGGCGTAGACCCTCAGCCTTCTAATATTCTCGCCGAGCCCGTTGAGTTACAGATAAAAAATTGTTATAATATTAGTACCTAACTACCGTGCTTTTTATCACTGATAACATTGCATAATAGGTAATTAATTATTTTGCTAAAAAAAAAAAATTCGAAATTACTACATTTCAAAAACAGGGCCGGATTTATCATTAGCGAGCCAAGGTGTGCGCCTATAGGACCGCACAGCAAAGGTTTTTTCTCCTTTCTTTTCAGTATGAACTTATCAACTTTTTTTCGATCATAATACACCCCCTTGTTTCTTATACCTATATATAGGCTTATACATAGGTGTAGGTATAAGATTACAAAGGGGCTCCCCCCTCCCCCATTCCTTCATGTTATAATGTGTGTCAAAAAACCCTGGCTCGATTCCTATTTCCGGGGGGTCCTTCCGGGGGGTCGGAAATTTTTTTGAAATTTTAACTCTATTTGGACGCATTTTAAGGCTTCCACGATGAAAATTTTAGAAAATACTAAGTGAATGAACATGGTGTTTTCAATTTAGTCTCTAGTTCAGCCATCGTGCTTTCATACTTCGTGTTTCAACAGGGGAATTCTGAAAAACGTCCCTTGAGGCGTAGGATGCAAGAGGACACTCTCTACACAGCCATATGCCACTCTGCGACTTTGTACTCGACAAAAGAAGGATTTTTCAAGGATTTTATCGAAGCTGTTACGGAAGAAGCTGGTAGGAGCTGGGTGAGCAATTTCAACAAAATAAACGACGATCAACAGAAGCTAATTGAATGTTTCAACAATAAAAAGGTGAGTTGTTGTCAACGATTCTGCATCGAGTTCCACCGCAGCTTTCAATGAACCGGCGCGGCGTTCCGCAGAATCAAGTCACATCAGCTTTTATTTGAGCAGTTTAACCTTTTACATGAAAATGATTGTGCGGATTTGTGTGCAATTTCAAAGGCTATTCTGCATAGTACGGAGCAAATTCCTTAAAAATTGTAAAATAATCCTCACGAACGTTCTTTGATGACAAATTAAATCGCCTAGTTTCATTTGACAGTAATTGATGCGGCTTGGTTCGCCTTCCTGCTAAACGAGGTCCAAATGGTTCTACACATTTTAGTTTAGGGTTTCACCGCATCTTACCTAAATATAAATTGAGAATTTTATATTGCTGGAAAATTTTCCGAAAAATCCTGAAAATCAACTCATCCTGTTTTATATTCGTTATCAGAATAAAAAATATAATATTAACATTTTCAGTGTCAATTTTGAGTCTAAAAATAAGCCATGACTGACTCTACCAAGTATAAGTATATACTCAATATGAGATNGGGGGGGGGGGGCTATTTTATGGGGTGATCGCAGTTTCATCCATTTTTTAATTTTTACTCATTGTCTTGAAAAACAATAATTATATACCTAATTTACTTTTTTGCCGTACTATTATATTGCAGACCACTGAAATTCTACATGGGACTCTTAAAAATATTCAAGAGCTGTATCGGGGTAAATCGAGCTTCATATCAACTCAGCGAAGGAAAGAAGGAAAGGCCTTTTTGGAGGAAAATGAGCCGCAAAAAGCTTTGCTTCTCCTCACGCAAAGTGTGATGAAAGCCCCCCAAACAGGTGAGCATTTTTACTCTCTCGCTCCCCTAGTTTTACCTGAAACATGGAAAGGAGTCAGAGGAGAGAAAGAGAGAAAATTAATGGGCGGATTATATGTATTTGTTTAAAAAAAAAAAAGGCATTTTAAAAAATACATTCCTTCACTGTCAGAATACCATCAAAGGTGGAGTAACTCCAAAGTGCTGAGTAATAAGACATACGGCGCGCGGTGATGAGGACGCGGCGCAGAGATACAACTATTCGTGCTTGATGGATGTCCGTGTTGCTTCTGCAGAATTGAAGGCGCGATGGCGAAAGGCATGAACTTGCAATGCTGCGCTCTATGAAGTGTCGCTCAGATTCGGGAGAAAAATTAATTTATACGAATCTCCTTTCGATCGGTTTCTTTTATCAATTTGATGCCTGATTCTTGTTTCAGGATGTATTTGTAGACCTTCGTCTGCATCTCGTATGTGCCGGCCCCATACCCGTGTGGCACGTGTTTTTAGAAATCTCGTATGTGCCGGCCCCTTAATACCCGTGTGGCACGTGTTTTCAGATAGCCTCGGGTCAATTTAACTCAGCTTGGGCATTTAAGGGTTAAAATATAATTCGCAGGCGTGGATTCCTTCTTTTTATGAAAGTCTTTTCATACCGTGGACAGGAGGGGGGAGGGGTTTCTAAATTTGAAATGCGCGCCAAAAGCTGTCTGGCGAGAGGGCGGGAGTTTCTGGCGGAAGCGGAAATGGACATGAACGCATGTGTCGAAAAACATAACCTAAAATCCAAACAAATGTTTCAGTCGTCGCTTTTTCAGCTTTTCAGCTTCTTTTTAGTTTAGCCGAAATTTATAACGAAAGATAGATTAAGAAGTGCAGTAAATGTTAAATATTATCAACGTTAGGATATTTTAAAAGTATGACCTTAGTACGTTGTTGTAATGCTTTCATGTGCAACTGTACTTCGCTGAGTGTTAGGTTCTGAAAGTGGCTGTATTTGATCGCATTCGCTCATCCCTCTATTCACCCTCTTCTGTTTCGTGTAAGTGTCTAAGTCACTCCAGAAAAAAGATAATTCATTATTTACTGCCGCACACCTGCATGCTTTGCAATGTCCTGGTCTTTCATGCTGAGCGCAAGACCTCTCTCCTTTTCACTTACGAACAGGGGAGAAAATAATGTTTATGTGCTGTGACCACAGAGTTCTGAGACCAAGAGTCTTTGTCAGGCATTGCCAATTTTCTTAAGTCTGTTAGAACCTTAAGTTACCATGATTTTAGTTTATGATTTTTATCACTCTTTTATATATTGCCAGGTATTCAAAGTTATTGCATTCAGGTAAGCCTGTACATACCTCGGTACATATTTCAAGATTATTCTAGATCTGCGAAGGTAGTCCTTGTTGTAGATTAATTCATAGAATAGCTGAACACCGTTTACCCATTAGATACTCTTCTGCTTGCATAGAAGTTGGTTATCACAACCTTCAATATGAACCTTCCAATTTTTCACTTTTGACTTCAAAGAGGCATTCTTCTGGTAACAAAAGCAGGATAGAAAATGCAATTAATATACAAGTTTTATGAATTATTTCCAGATTATTTCAACATTTTTCCTCATCCCTGTGTGTTCCCTTTCCTAGGAGCAGATAAATCAGAATGGTGCTCAGCACTTTGGGATCGATCTCATCTTCTGCTGAGTCAAGGAGAGTTCTCTTTCTGTCTTTCCGATGTTCAAATCTGTCTCAAGAATGGTCTCCCCGAAAATCTGAAGTAAGTATCCAACAAAAATAATTTTATAATCATCAAATAATAGTTTTATAGTTCAATGGCCATCTAAAAATTATGCACTGCTCAGGCAAGGCGAATAAAGAACGGGGGTCGCATTTCGAACCTTCTTGACGTCACACGGCATCAGGTACGTTTCGGGTACATCCTGATTGCATGGCAAAGCATATACCCTCTGTGCGTCACAGCCTTTAAAATGACGACTCAACTCAAAATGCGACCACCTTTGTTTATCTGCCTTGCTGCTCAGGGTGAGTTTCCCAGCAGCCGGATTGTTAAAACTTTGACTGGCTATGTCAGCAAGATGAGATAAGACATCTGTGTTGTGTAACATATCGATTTTTGATTTTTGTCGACGGACATAAATTCCAACAATCAGGCTGTGGTCTGAAATTGTTTTGTATTGGACCCATTTCTATAGTCCATAGAAAGGCGGCAAAATCTTTATGTCTACCTCTTCAAAAACCTGGTAACCTTTAATTCTTCAACAGTTCTGCTCATCTTCAATAGCACCTTTTTTTCTATTGTTTTCTCAGAAGAATTTTTTTTTACCCAGTTGAAGTCCTCCTCCTTTTTTAAAACATTATTTTGGCACCGAGTATCATACACTTCCATTAGCTTGCCATCAGACTGATAACACAACCAAATTTGTTTTTCAGTTTTTTACGTCAACCTTACCTTTCTTTCAACCCAGCCTCACAATGCAAGTACGGTGGAGAAGTATGATTGCATTTCTTACCATAATAAATGAATAATCTTTATTCTCTGCTTCTTTTCAGGGCAGACGCTTATTGGAGAATGGCTGAGTGCTATTTTGGATTGAAAGAAAATAGCAAGGGCAAACTGACACTATTAATTCTTGAGAAATGGGTCGAAAAAGCTTTTCCGGCAGATGACGCCCTGCTGAGGGAGTGGAAAACCAAATTGAGGGAAAAAATCAAAGAAGTCCCAAGGCTTATGCCCTTTGAAGAAAATAAACCGCACTCACACAGTAAGGTTAATTTCACTGTTTAGCTGATTGCAGTTCTCTCCCTCGTTTTTACATCTATATTTTGAAACACTATTCATTTGATCTACAGGCACCAAAAACCAACTTTCTTAATTGGGAGTCCAATTTTTTACTCTCTTGTTCAGGCCTGACTTCATAAATTACTGCTCATAGGCTACTTGGAAATTGCTGCTGTCGAAAGAAATTACTTGTTTCCTTCGTCATCCATTTCTGTGGATATGCTTGTTGAATCTTAATTTGCTGTCTACCAAGCCATTGTTTGCAGCTTGAATAAAATTACTGCTCGTACACTAATTGGCACCCTTCAAAATTTACAGCAATTAGATATTAATATTTGCACGTAGTGCTTTGCCTTCAAACTGATGCTGCCGTTTACAAAAAGAGGTCATTAATTCTCTGAATGGCAAGTTTTTCCCTCAGGGTTATCATTTTAAACCAGCTATTATTCATATTTTGAAGGCTGGAAAACAAGGAGTCAGTAGAAGCAGTCTAAATCATCTCCATTTCTAAGTTTCCTCATCAGATTTTGCCGGAGAGTGCTGACTACTGTGCCAAATTTGAAGCAATTATGTATAACGAATCCTTTAAATGTATCAAACTCTGAGCAGCTCCTATGGTCCAATTTACCGAGGACCTCTGTCCTACAAAGATTGCCAGGCAGGCACTAATCTTCACCTGCGCCTTGCTCTAACTTGCAGGACCTCCGCTTGCTGATATGTTTTCTCTGAATATTGGGAACACATTTGCATCATGTGTTTGAAGAAGTGCAGAAGCATTTTCTTTCAGAAGCAATACTTACGAAAACTTCAAATCAGACTTGTGTTGAGCTGTGACTCGCCAACTCCAGAGTTTGAGCCTGAAGCAGTCTCAGCTCCGGCAGATCAAACAAGGCTTTAGTATAACAGCTCCTTTTAAAAGCAGGGGAGAGATTAGCGGTGGAGATTGCCATGCAGTAATTTCTGTGGGGCAGAGCTGAAGGTCCCAGGAAAACTAGGCTTATAGTACTTTTTTTAAAGTAAATCGTGTTTTCCTTTTCCCATTTGATGCATGTTAATTCGGTTTTTATGTTTGAAATTTTCATTTTTGCATTGTTTTCTACACAAAATTCTTAAAAAAGAAAGTAGAAGTTAATGGAAGTTATCATGGATGAAGGAGTTGAGCAAAAATTCTTCGAAAAATGGGAGTATAAATCATTTGTTTTGAACTTCATCTCTAAGTATATTTTATGAAATAATGAACCACATAGTTCACTTTTTTGTCCTAATAATTTAAGTTTCAAGCTCATTTGTGTAATTTGTAATCTGCCTTGTAATTTTCAACTGTAGACGCTATTTTTTTGAAATCACCAAAAAGGCACTTGACTTCAGCATCCATGACAAACTTCAAATTTTTAATTTGAAACTACTTCACAGTCGTGTCTCTTAATTAAAGAAGGGAGAGTTGTTTTGTGAGAAGAAGTTGAATTATAATCTATTTTGAATACTTACAGAAGTTCCTACATTGACAAAAGGGCCTCTCATTGAATTTCCATGTGCATCAAGTACTCTGCGGCTCACTGAAACAAAGGTCGGGGGAAAGTTTTTTGTTGCTCGTGACCCAATAAAAGCAGGTGATACCCTGATTGTAGAAAATGCATTTGCTGCTTGCTTGCTGCCTGAGAAATGTGGCACACACTGCCATCATTGTTTTCAAAGGTACCTTTGTGTAATTTTTGTGTGCAACTTTGATTTTTTTCATGTGATTGCTCTTCAGGCAATAACAGAAGCCCTCGCTGACGAATAATATCCGCAGACAAATCATAATAAAAGTTCTTTTGTTCCTTGAGATTTAAGGAATATATTTTGCAGAAATTGATGTCCTTTTCATTTCAATCAACGCAACGTTCAAAGAAAGCACTCCCCTCTTGGCTGATAAAAGCCAACAGCAGAATTAATGTTAATATATGTTGGGCAAACGGTAAGTGTTCAAAAATTTAAGGAAATATAGCTTCATGGCTTTCAACATTTGATGATAGATGAAGAGATTTTTAAGTGATAGTTTGATGACTTTGAGAATAACCTGTTTAAAGTTGGACAATTATATTTAAGTAGTATAAGCGTCCGTTTACCCCACCCATCCCAACTATTTTTTTTCTTGAAATCAATAGGTGTTTTTTTCCAAATCAATAAAATATCAAGGAGATTAATTTCAAGAATTTTCACTGACAGATTACAGTCACAGAACTCACGAAATCAGTATCAATTTTATTGAAACTCTAACACCTAGTAAGAGAGACAACAAAACAAACAAAAAATAGGTGGGATGGGTGGGGTGAACGGAAACTTATACTACTTATTTACATGTTGATGATACATATAATTTACAATATTGGGGCAAAAAACTAATTTTGAACTTTAGACTTCAACCATCTCACTCCTACCTTGATCGATACAAGTTTTTCTCTCTAAAAATGTCATGTAGCTCATTCATTCATGATGGTTCTGATGATTGAGCCTTTACAGTGGTTTTTCCACCTTAATTTTATTCTTTCCTCTTTTTGTTTCAGACTCAAAATCCCAATGCCTTGTTCAACTTGTAGCGGAGTCTCCTTTTGCTCAGTAGACTGCATGGAGGAAGCATCAAGCTCATACCATAGATTTGAGTGTAAATATTTGGACCTCATGATTGGCGCAGGCATGAGTATTCTTTGCTTCATCGCTCTTCGAATCATCACACAGCAGAAACTCGACTTCTTTCTTAGGGTGAAGGATAAGCTAAAGGATCCAAAGTCCTGCGACTATGCTCAGGTAGAGAATAAAATGCCGCACCTACTTGTGGAAACAAGTAGATAAGTCCTTTTTTTGTTCATAATAAATTAAAATAGTTCATTAGCAACAAAAATTTACAATTAGTCAGTACTCATAATTTTACATGTAAAATTGTGCAGCCAAGTTAAAAACATTTGAGTTGACTTGTCCAGGAAAAAGTAGTGATCATCCATCTCAGATAATTTCGACATTCGATAAAAATTCCGAAATATTTTTTGTATGTTTGAAGTACCCAAAAATGTTAGATTTTTAAGGGGAATAACCCTATGCAAATAACAAGTCATTTGCTTAAGGTGATATCATTACCTTTCTTGCAACAAGTCACTTCTGGTGCTCTTCACTTGATGGCACAGTTTTACCCTGTGAGAAGACACCCAATTTTTCCAGACAATTTCATCATTAGAGTGGGAAATTGGCAACGTCCGGAGGAGCACTGACTCTATGGAAAAAGCTGATGTTCGCTGCAAAATGCGCATGCACGCCGCCAACTGACTCAAGTGTAGGGAACTGGGCCACTTGCTCCGACGCTCATGGAAGTCAGTCTCTTGGAAAATGGTTGTCTGACTAGCATGCTAGTAGCTCACGCTTGGGTGCTCTCGTCAATGGCAGCCATAAAAATCAGACAGGACTTCGAAGCTATTCTAGTGTCATTTTCGAGGTTTCACCACCCCTTTTTCTACCCTTCGATCTTGTCGAGCTTATGTATACCAGCTTGTGCTTATGTATCAGGAGAAGAAGAAACTTCAATAGAATCAGTGCACAACACTAGACAAGTTTTTTATCATCATTTTTTGGCGGGATCACCTTCCTTGTTCGAGTGTTCTAACCTGGCGATTTTTGTTGATGCCATTGGGAGGTCAATAGAGGTCTCTGTGGAGAGGTGTCACAGATCAAGGGAGTGGATCAACCCCTTGAAGCTACTCATGGTTAATGCCTTCAGGATATCAAAAGCGGCACCCAGCAGGGGGAGTCCGAAATGCCCCCATTTTTGCCATCGTGGCTATCCGCCACATCACATGGTGGGCCTGCGCTAGGTATGCGCATTTTGCAGCGAACATCAGCGTTTTTCATAGAGTTAATGCTCCTCCTGACATTGCCAATTTCCCACTCTAATGATGAAATTGTCTGGGGAAATTGGGTATCCCCTCACAACTTGTAAATATTTCAGACGGGCTATTATGGGTTTTTCTTGGTGGTTATTATAATCTTGAATATACTCAGCAGATGTAGAACATAAATGATCACTTGGCTAAAGGCTAACAAACCTTGGCTTATTTTTTTCACTTCAGGCAGAGATAACTTAAAGAGCCCTAGAAATCGCCAAAAAGAGGTAACTTTATATTTCTGAAATATCATACAAGTATTTTCTCGGATGATTGATCAAGGAACGCTTGACACCATAAAGGCACCTCTTTAAAACTTTAAGAAAGCTTTTGCAAAATTTCAACTTGATATTCCAAGATCGTATCTATGATTCTAATTAACTCAAAAACACTGACCCAACATTAGGCCCTTCTTAAGGAATCCTCATGCTAAACAGCTTGATCTGTTGAGTAGTTTCTCAGCTGCGGGTCGGAGAACATTATAATATAGCGAAAATTGAGGAGTCCCGATCATTTCATTGAAGATACAGGGGTGACAGGAGTAAAGAGTGGCTTATTGTCTAGCGATTTGTTGTTCACTGAATGTTTGACGTTTATATTCGGTGCATTGGAGTATCATAGCCATTTAAGCGCTTTCCTTTCAACTTTAAAGCATAGTAGTTGTTCTTGCCTTATATTTTTTCATTTTTAACTCGGGAGAAAGCTCTGCGAATCTGCGTCATGTACCATCAATAAATTTTCAACTATTTTGAATGAAAATATTGATTAATCTTAATAGAAAACTATGCTAAGCTGCATTGCAGTGATATATTTTAATTTTTAAGCTTTGCGAATCATAGAGCGGTGGAACCTTGGCAGGTTTTTGTTAGATTGTTGAGCACTCCATAAAATCCTAACTGAATCCAAATCCTATTGCAATTTTACATGGTTTTTTGCCATAGTGAACGATGTTTCCACTGAAATTGGCTCGTGTATTCAACCATTTGTTCTGTCTTTTTCAGCTCTACAATCTTGTGACTCATTCTGATAAGAGATCATCAGAGGATCTATTTCAGCGCACCTTGATGTCTTTATTCCTTCTTCACATTCTGAAAAAATCTGGTTATTTTGGTCTAGAAGCAACTTCCTTTACAGGTATTTTGGAATTATCTTTGAAGGGATTCAAAATAGGATAAATAGAAACTACATATTTGAAAGACCCTGCCTTGACAATTTCGCTATTCAATCAACGTTAAGAGTAAACACTTACATCTTGTTTAGGAGATGATTTTAGATTTCATTGTATGATTCGTTTTCCGCATGCGATTTTCAAAAGAAAAAATGCTGTATAGTGCTTTAATGCATATCTTGACAAGAGGCCCATCTAGAGACTAATCTGTGGGCTCATTATTGAAATTTTGTGTTTGTCGGGCAGACATAGAGGACATAGGTAAGGCGGAGCGTGATTTTTCAGCTATGTCTTATCGCCGCTATGTTGTGCCTTTATCAGGTGGAAGTGGAACGGACAACATGCTGTTGGAAACTTTAGAGGCACCTTTAACATACCATGAATTCCACCTGACAAAGGCACAACAAAGAGGCGATAAGACACAACCGACCAATCACGCCCCGCCATTTGAGATCTGTCATTTATGTCCTCCCGACAAACACAAAATTTCAATATTCAGCCCACTAATAAGGCTTTTGGATTCTCTAAACGCTTGGTGAGACTTCTGTTTAGGATAATTATTAGAATATTGTATTTAAGTTCAATATAAAGCAACTGCAGGACAATTTCTTTAAGTGGTTGACTACTCCTTTGACTCTTACTTAATTGCCAACTTCATAGCAATTTGTTTTGGTGATTTTCTTGCATGAGGTTAGGATATATTTCTTTTTCTTTATTTATTAAGCATGAATCCATTCAGAGGTATTTTTGCAGAAAAAGGTTTCCACAATCTATTAATTAACAGCATCTAAAACATTTCATAATTTTTCCCTCATTTCATCAATATGCAAAGGCGTTTTTATCCTGTTCAATAGTCTTGGATTTCGTTTCAATTTTGTGTAAACTGAAAATCTAAGAGACAGGGGCACACTGACAATGAGTAAATTTTTAACTTTAAGCTTTTTTGTGCAATTTTACTAACAATGAGCTGAAGTGCTTTTATTCAATTGTTAATCCTCTATATCCGTACACAAGGTTTTTTTTTGGGAATATCCAAAAAAGTACATAAATGATACCCTTTGCTGCTTGAAATATAGGAAAATTTGCTTGTCTGTCATTCATAAAATATACTTAATCTCTGAAAAAATCTGTTATATTTTTTCTAAAGAAAATTTTAAATATACATCAGCACTTATTTTCACACTCATTATCAGGGAAGCTGCAGAATCGACTCTACATATTTTCTAATTTCTAATAAAGTAATTCTTGGGAGTTCTTTTTTTGCACTGCAGACTACAGATAAAAACGCCCTTTTGATTGTTTCTTCTTCTTCTTTTTTGCTCAGAAAAGTTATCTGCAACTGAGGTCTTTATTGGGAGCCTAATCATTCGCCATTTACAGCTTCTGCAATTCAATGCGCATGAGATTTACGAAATGCTTGTGAAAGCGGAAACTGAGGCTGCTTATTGCAAAATCCACCATAATAACATTGCAGTTGGCATTTACCCAACAGCTTCTTATTTCAATCATGACTGTTATCCTGCAGTAAGTCGGTAAGTTTTATTACTTCATCCAATGATTTTTGGGAGTATTGCCCAAGGAATCTTGACGCCATGACGAAAGGCATTACAGATTGAGACCCTGCTCTTCCTATTCTCACAAATTTATCGCAAGTAATAGAAGATGTTTGAAAGTTAACAATCCGATTTGTGAAAGGAAAACTAATGAATACTTATTTGATATCTCATCAAGCAAGTTTGTCAGAATGGGTCTTTTTTGTATAACAGATAAGTCAACAAGTAACTCATCAAGCGTCACCAGACAAAAAATAGTGTTGATCACTGAAAAACACTTTTACTTACACTGTGGGAAAATAGAAGGCACCAGATTTCTAAATTATACTATTCCTAGTACCAAAACATTTATTCTGGCTTAATTTTGTATTAAACACATATAAATTGAGCAAATATGCAGATTCTGTAATGTAGGTTCACCACGCAAGATGTCCCAGAAGAAACACAACAATTCCAGTTTTAAGAGTACGAATCAAGATAAAACTTGTGTCAAATAAATTGTTGATTAGTAAGTGATTTGGGAAATTAATAGCACACACATTGTAGGCAATGTTTTAACAGATCTACGCAATTACATTGCCTAGCACTGTTGAAACTATACCGCAATATCTTTTTTAGTTCTTTTCTGACTGTGATTCCTGCATTTATTTGGGACAGCTTACGTTTAAAAACTCATCCTCTCCAAAATCAGCTGAACTAGACCAGGCATTGCCTAATTACCTCTCGTGCTTAATTTTTGAAACAGAAAACCAAGCAACATTCTGACAAGAAATTTTATTAGGATGATTTCTTTTTAATCCTAGAAGAAAGCATTGAAAGTTTCAAGGGGCTAGGTTTTTTAGTTTTCTATTAATAAAATATAACGTGGAAAAAAAATAAGCAATGGGCAACATAGTCAGGTGTTGCCTCTGAGAATGGAGACAATGTAACTACTTGGTTTCGTGATGTCAAACTAGTAGAGCAGTCGCCGTGTTCACCAATCAGAGCCGCCGTTGATCGGCGGAAGTTGCATGAGTGACGCATTTGAATCTTAGTGGGGTAACAATTTTCGGTATTTAGTAGTGTTCAACTTTTATCTCCTCAATTATCAGACAATGTACATGGACTAGGCAGTTTTCTGAAGTGAAATTTAATCTTCTTTTGAAAAGTTTCTTAAGAATTTTTGCATCAGATCAACCCCTAAAAAGATATTAGCACAAAAGGAACATGTGTCATACGTTCTCCCGCAAGAACACATGCTAAATTGCTGCCGAGTTTCATTTTCTAGCGTGACGATATACATAGAATCAAAGTTATGGCCTCTCTATTCTCGTAGGCAACGAGTTAGACTGATCCTTATAAGTGCTATCCAATTATTCCTCCATTTGTCAATTTATCCTATATCTTTAAATTTAATAATTCATTTTTATATCAGCCCCAGTTAACATATTTTATTTTATTTTCCCAGTACCACAGTTCAATTTTCTTTTTTTCCTGACTGCTGATTATGAATTTCATGTTTCAATCATGATAAACATCTGACTTTTCATTTCAACCTTAGCTTGCAGCTAATTGTAAGATCTTCTTATTCAATGTCAGAGCCCTCCCCTTACCTTTTGTTAAAGTCAGGTTCAAAAGTCATTAGTCAGTCTTCTTGCTCATCGTGAGGCTTGAACTTAATTTTTTCAGTTATTTTGTTGGAAACAAAATTGTCTTGAAAGCTCTACGTCCTTTGGCGACCAATGAAGCTGTCACTGAAAACTATGGGCCAATCTTTACGAAACGAGCACGGACTGAGAGACAACGAGCCCTTCTGTCTCGCTACAGATTTCAATGTGAATGCAGAGCATGTCTAGAAAATTGGCCTCTATTTGATAATCTCGATGATACTTATCAAATCAGGTACTTACTGTGATTCTATTTCTATTCTAGTTTGTTTCACATCTTAATCAAAAAGTACAAGACAATCGCAAACCTTGCATATAATACTTTCCAGCAAGTGATGATTGGTTGCTTTGCTTGTTTTAAAAAGAAATTATAAGCACTAATGTAAGCAGTTCTATGATTTTTGAATGGTAATCACACCTACAAATAAGATTACATATTAACCAGGAGGGAAGGCATGTATAGTAAAACACTAAAAAGAGTCCATGTTTGACTCGCAAACATCTTGACTCTGAAAATTTGGCGATTCAATTTTTTTTTAGCTTATGACCTTACAAATGACTCTTTAAAGCTTCCTCCTTAATAGTTTATATTAATTTTGAATTGTTGAGTATATTTTTCTAAATTCTCTTGTTGGTTTTAAAATCTTATCTTTCGTTGCCTGAATGAACCGTTTTCAGAGTTCTTCTAAACCTCTTGTTTCCTTTATTTATCACGCATATTCTTAGTCAGTGTTTCCAGGGTGACTCATAAAAATAATGCACAGCAGCACTGCTAGAAGTAATGTTTTATTGAATCTAGATCTGTTGATCTTTTAAAACAATTCACACTTGAATTCCATTTGAAAAACCTGCCAAAAATCTGAAAATATTACCTGAAATCTTTTAGAACTAATGAAATGAAATTATTGGGTAGGTAGCACACGGCATCGTGAAAAGAAAATTCTGCACCATTCATGATACATGGTAAATAGAAAACAAAAGCAATTAAGGGTTGGTTCAAATAACTTTTCACTTTTTTTTAACTTTTTGTCCTTACCATAGACTCTAAAGAGCTTTTAAACTCCAGGAAAATAAAGTTTTAAATGTTCATAACCATTTTTCACTTGTTAGAACTCACTAGATCACCTTATATTCATGATAAATTTAAAGAACATCGTCGTTGAAAGTAGAGTTTCCCGTGATTTAGCATCTTTGTATGGTCTACGGTAAGGAAAAAACAGTTAATTTTGTCCTTACCGTAGATCATACAAAAAGTGCTAATTCTAAGGGAAACTCAACTTTAGATGGCAACGCAGTGAGCTCTGACAATAAAGAAATGGTTATGAGCATTTTAAACTTTATTTTTCTTGAATTTAAGTACTTGTTCAGGGTCTACAATAAAGAAAAAAAGTCTAAGAAAAGTAAAAAATTATTTGAACCAACCCTTAAGAAGGCACTTTCCATGGTCATCATACCACGTAAATAGTATAGGAAAATGATAATTGGAAAATACATTGGTCTGGAGAATCTCTTTGAATTAACACAAAATAAACTCATGGAAGGAAATGAGGAGATATTTTAATAGATTCCAGGTTCTTTTCAAATATAAGCCACCTCCATTTTTTTTTTGCAGAATACACTTTAGCCAGGTTTTCTTTCATTAACTTCAAATTTTTCATACTTTATATTTCTACCTACAAAAATGTAACATTTGTTTCAAGCTAATCATCGCCTGAAACTTATCAATGAAGTAACTTGGTTTGTGTTCAATATTCATCACAGTTGGTTTTTGCAGGTGTCCAAGTCCGAATGGCTGTGGAAAAACGCTAACCAGAATCAGTATCAACAAAAATAATAAACAGAAGTCGAACAAAAAGGACATCAAATGTTCCAGCTGCGGTTATTGCGCAGAGTCGTCATTTTTGCAAAAGACAGAGGAGCTCATACATAGTTTGGATAAAAAATATCAAGAAGGCAAAAAGGAACTCGATAGAGGCAACATTTCAGCAGCCATCTCCTCTTTGTCAGCTTATTCAAATGAAATATCAGCTCTTTGTATCCCTCCTGTAAAAACTTTGACTCTAGCTCATGAAGCTTTGCGCATATGCTGGGCCAATGATGGAAGTAAAATTATTCTCCCATAGGTTAATCGCCGGTTTAATCTTTCTAAATCGCTTTCTTTTCACGATTTAAGATGGACGCAAGGAAAGTGCTCTCCAGCAAACATAACCGAAGGGTATGACAGTGTCAGGCACTGTCACCTGTCACATTCCCAAATCACAACCCACCCTGCAACTGCCAAAAATAATTTTATAAAAACGTCGCATTAATGTTGCCGCAGCAATACTTCTAGCTGTGACAGCATGATAATTTTGCAACCACTTTGCGGTTTGGAATTATACTCATTATAATCAATTAGAGTCAGTAATCAGATGACAGTTCAAATTAGAATCAGAAAACATGTTTTTGAGATGTTTTGTAGAGCTCTGAGGAATCATAATGTATAGATGAAAAGAACAATCTTTTCACCCTAATATTCATCTTTTATTCGCTGGTGCTTGATGCTGTTCTGAGATGAAGAAGGATGTCAAGCGCGGGCATCTGATACCATTGCCAACATGTCATTGTCTAATATGTATTTAGCCAAGGCTGCATAGATTGACGTTCAGTTTACATGAGCCTTATTCAAGTACCGACTTTCTTGTAGGTGTTGATCATGTCAGTATTTTCAGAGCCAATAATGTGTTCAAAGGGGTTAATGAGTAGTAAATTCCACCCTCCTTGTCACTCCTAGATTTGATTGATTTCCAGCAAGTTTTTTAAGGGCACAGAGATGCATCTTCAAGGATTTTTGTTCTGAATTAGTTCTCTCAAGCTAAAAATGCTGTTTTCCCTAATATTACTCAAGCGCAGATGATGTCCTCAAGCTGTGTATTTTAATTATTTGTTGGAGGTAATATAAGTTTAGTGTTGCTGATATCTGCAGGTGGGCAATGGTTTGTTATTAGCTACGCACTCTTGTATTTCTGCCCTCTGAGTTGAGAGGGTGTTAAGTAAACACATGGGTGTGTTTTTGGTAACATACCATTACCCACCCGCAGAAAATAAGAATACCAAGCTTAAATTCATCTGACAAATAACCGAAATAAATACACTGGCTTCTTCAGAAGAGATTTATTTTTAACAGAGTACATTCCTGTAAGGTGTCAATAGGAGCAATGAGAACTGGCCATTATCTCTACCCAAGTGGTGTAAGGCCAGTCGGAGTTCAGCTAGTTTGCTCTGCAGAACGATAACACATTATTTTTTGGCATTCCTCAGAAGTTAAATTGGGCAGAATCCAAGGAGGTGTTAGTGCATATCCCAACGCATTCATGCATACCCCCATTAGCCCCTTTTTAATCACTCAACTAGTGAGTCATTTATTGTGACAATAGATGCATTTTTAAGATAGAAATTTTTAATAAATTTGAGATCAATATGATTTGTAACTTTGAAACAGACAGTATTAGAAATAAAGAGTAAGTTTTATTACCTGGAAGTTTTTTCAATTTTTTCTTGATTTACAAGATTATTCCTCAAAAAAATGTTCCTCAAAATAACGTGACGATGTTCCTTATTTCATACGGAAATGAAGCTGACATCGAAAACCTGTAGGGTAGAAGAATTTAATGTATGTTTACATGTATCCCAGAAGAACATTCGGATTCTGAAACTTCAAAGCCACACTTGTCTTGAAAGGCCCTCAGCAGACTTCAGGGCTTATGAATTTCTCAAGCTTAAATTATTATTGATCATATATCATTGGTTGCCGCTATAAGAAATAGAATGTTTCGATGGCTAAAAGCAAAAAATAAGTATCTCGAATGCAATTTTTGATAATCTAGAATTTTTTATTTTCCAGGAAAACAACTGAAAGGTTTCTTTGTAATTTTGGGTAATTTTCTAACAATGAGTAAAACAACTTTGTAGAAAATTTCAAAAGAAACTCTTGGTTAGGTCTCTTTTAAAAAAATGAAACATGAGCAGAGACTTACAATATCGCAATCTAAGGTAGGTAAGCAGTTTTTGGCTTCAGGTATATACATCTAAATTGGAAGCATTTTTGCAGCAACCTCCTGAGGCCAAAAACATGAATACAGAACACTGTTTAGCTCATAAGTTTTTTCAAAAAGCAAATTTGGTTGAACAGATCCTGTTGGTTGATGATCTTTCTTGTTTACCTTCTTGCATTCAGAAAAATAATTAAAGTACATGAATCACTTATGACTTTTTGACCAGTGAGCTTATGCAAATTAAAATGAAATACAGTATGAATTAAAAACCGTATCGCACTCTAAGGAGAGCCAAATGAACCCAGGACTACATTTTAGGAAATCAACCATAAACCCGCTTTTCAAAAAATTAAAAATTACGTAAGAAAGGTCTTGAAAAATCTCCATAGATTTGCTCTTAAGTTTTTTAACACTTTTTTAAGCATTTCAAATGTTGGAGAACAACAAATGCCTAGATTTTTAAAAGATTAATTTTAAAGAAATCCAATTGTATTCATTTTCTGTGAATTTTAATTATCAGCTTTTTAGTGCTTGCAATGCGCAGTGTTTTTAGTTCTTTTTTTAAAATTAACACAATTTTTAAAAGTAATTTTAACAGTCGTTGCTACGAAGGAAGGCCTTGATGGCTAAAGTCATAAAATGGGTGACTCTGAGACTCTGACCGCAGCACTGCTTATCTCTGATCATGTGGTTTTTCTTTAAAGGAACCTCATGCACCCAAAATTTTTCTTAAAATTTTCAGTGAACTTTTTTCACCCATTCAAAAATAATCTTAAAAACTTTGAAGGAGGTTGCTGGATTAAATTTATTTTTAAAAATGAAACACATCCAATTTTTTTCAGAAAAACATCATTATTTTCGGCTGCACGCAGATTCCTCCCCCCCTCCTCCCATTTACCAACCATCCCTCCCTTTTTTCGCGAATTTCGAGGAGGAAACAATACGATACTGCCTGCGAAAAGTGGCGAGGACACACTGTTGCTTTCCAAGTGTTTTTGTTCGCCTGATTAACATAAATCATCCTTTCAATGAATAAAGAACCTCGAGGAAACCCAGACAAAGGAGGGCCGAGAACCGTGAACCCTACTATCACGTGTGGTCGCGCGCCAAATTAAATAATTCATTCTACTCATCTGCTACCTGCATCACTGGATTCGTCACGTGATGGTCGATTGGACCAATGGGAGACGAGAGCGGTACTCCCTCCTTTTTGTCCATTGTTGCGTATCGCCCGCCTGCAAGGGGATCGCGGGCTGTGCACGCTGAGTAGGAATTCAACCTAGCTGAAGTGAAGAAGGCGAACATCTCGGCGTGTCAACACCCTTTCCACCATCTAGGACATCATGGCTGACCCGGAAAAGCAGCCCGAACAACCCAAGGCTGTAGGAACTAAGAAGCCTGTCCTCGGTAAGAGAAATTCCACGCTACTAATTCCCTTCTGAAACTATAACAAATCCCGAAAGTTGTCATTGCCCGTAACACCACCATTTTCTCCGACGCCTTTTCATGGCCGCTGTCTCGACCGGCCTATTACAGCATAAGAATGAATTTGTCTTTGAACTTCTCCCTACTTAACTTTCTGAATCGTACCTTTCACCCAGCTTTTGTCAATAATTTTTCATCGATTTGTTATTTGAATGCTTTTCTTCCAATTTGCTTATTTTCACCTGCCTGAAAACGTGACGCGGTGCAGCGAGGCCCCCGTCTATCAGCGTATTCCATGCTCACGTTTTGAATTTTAGCCATCGCTGGCTGTCACTCCTTCATGTGGTCAATCTGAAAGTTATTTCTACGGTTTCGATTGTTTCCAATTCAATTTACTCCTCATTATTTCATTGTACTCCGCCGATGAAACCCATGCGGCGTGCACGGCCATGGCTGCCCGCACCCGGCCTTCAACCGGACGGATCGAAGGCCATTATCTGTACCCAAGCACGTTGGGCGCCTCAACTATCATATTATGTCTTGATCTGCACTTATTTGCAGTTTTCACCATGATTTCATCTGAATTTTTAAGAGTTGTTGAAAATAGAGTAGTATCTCTCAGCAGTCCTACACATAATTGGCCTCTTGGGGTTTCAGGCCTTTTCCGAAGCCCAATCCCATGCTCATTTTCATGTCCCTGTCTGGTGTGAAGCATGCACTCAATTTCTGATGAAACATTTCATTTGATGAGCCTCACTAACTCTTTGTATCACCACCTGACCTATATTTCGATGTAGTTAAGATTTTCTCTAATTATCATTATTTTATAGCTAGCATTTTGTTTGAATTGACCCCTAATCTGAATTGGATGTTAGGCTTTTATCCCAGGGCTCAAAGGTCACATTTTTCGGGGAACTTTATATCGTGGTTTTTCCCCATTCTGGAAGCGGAGAGTCGAATTGCCAAATGCCATGCTTTTTTGGCCCCTCAGTACATTATTGGACGCTAAATAGTAATCTGACGTAAACTGTTGAAGATGGAATGTTCTGTTGACAGCTTTCCAACCTCCAGGCTTATCAATTGTGAGTTATGCGAGTATAGTTAGTCCTTTTCTTTCAACCTGAAGCCACAACAGAACTTCGCCAGCAGTTAGACATTTTGTGCCTCGGTGGCATGAGATTCTATTCTTGTCGTCTAACTTGGGAACCATGTGTTTTGGCTTGCAATGCCATGAAGGTATTTGACCGTACTAAATCTTAGGGTTAGGTAACGGAATCGCTCAATTTCTTGATAATTTCCATGTATTCCTCGGTACAGGATGAGAGAATTGTGTAAAAATGTTATATAGCATTGTCACATTCCTCAGCTTCCTCCAAAGAAACAATGTGGGAGTGAAAACATTAGAACACCCTGAATTTGATTTCCAAATCCAGCCATTGATATTATCCCTATTTCATGTGCAAGTGAAAGTCTGCTTTGTTCAACGTAGCTGGTATTATAAGCAGTTCCTCAGTTTCCATATTGCCCTGTTACGAGTCGTGGTTCCGAATTTTAATGTCCCGCCAGAAAGAACATCTATTACCAATTCTCGGAGCTTCACCCTGGGCTCTGATGTTATGTAATCAAACTCTGTTGTAGCACGTAAGAGATCATTCTTCATACTGCTTGCCTGTATCATTTTAAAGATGTGCGCAAGTTGCATGTAGTTGTCTTCAGTTCACAATCAGCGGTTCATTTCTTTTCTGCACTTCTTTAAGAGGTAGAGCCTGCTCTGTCTATGTTGAGGCTAAAGTAAAATTACAAGACTGTCTCTCCAGTAGCACTGCTCAATGGGTTAAGTATTCTAAGCGATTATATAGCTACTGTGATGAGTAGTGATTTAGATGAGATCAGAGTCCTTGGGGATCTTGAACCTTCTTATTTGAGAGAGAATCGTAGGCAGTTGGTTGAAATTAGAGCTCGCTCACTGTGCATCAGGATGTTTGTCGAGTAGAGGTGTCTTCAGATAAGTTGACCATTGTATACTTTCGATTTGCAAGTGCAGACGACCAATTCAGGTCTCTGCTCGAAGTAGCGTTTGCTACTATCCACTTTGCAAACATCCGACTCAGAATTGATATGTTTGAAAACTACGTATCACTTATGATTCGCAACTGTCATGTAGTTGTGATTTCTGTTTAGCTTCTAATTAAAGTGTAACAAGGTTTGAAAGCATTAAAATATATATCTAAGTTTGTGTTCTTGCTTCTGCAATAGTCTGATGTTTTTATGTGGATAGTAGTGACACAAAAACACTTGCAAACCAAATGTAAACAATGGTCAACTTATCTGCCGACACCACTACCTCTAAAGCAACAGAAATCAACTTGTTAACTTGTGAATTCATTCAGCTTAATTGGCGTCGTTGTATCTTAAGCTATCCTTTTGTCTCAACATTCAAGCATCCATCCATGCCTCAGAGAACTTGTGCATCTCATGCCTGAATCGCCGGGTGTTTGCGTCAAGTGACCTCAAAAGTTTTTAATCTGCGCATCAGTTACGTTCAAGCTTCTAACAGTGTCAGCTAAGATGTACTTCTGTTCAATCCTCTCTTTGTATCAGGGCATATCTTTCTCCCATGTCTAAGTTTTATCATTCACAGTTCTGGTCTTCTGTTACAGCCAACAAGGTCACCGGGACTGTCAAGTGGTTCAATGTCAAAAGCGGATACGGTTTCATCAACCGGTAAGAACACTAATTTTTATTTGTCCGTTTCACTCTACTTCTATGCAAGCCAATGAAGTCAGATTATTACCATCTAAGGCGGAAAAAGAATGGTGGTCACATTTCAATCTTGGCTGCCATCTTGAAGATTTGTCATGTCAGAAGGCTACGGGTTTTTGAAGGTGCAACTTGAGGGCGGACCATGGTGAGCGGTAGGTCAAGCTTAGTCCTCCGGCCTCGATCGGCCCATGCACCCGCCACTGTGTGATGTCAAGAGGGTCCACAATGTGTCCACCATCCTTTATCCGCTTCGATCGCCATCAGCTCACAGAAACCTCATCTGACCAGAGACTAAATCAGTATCAGCCCACATGTAGAGGATATTTGTACCTGGTGCTCTTAAAATGAGCATTATCACTTAGTCTGTGGTTATCACGCAGTCCCACAAACTGTTCACAGTGTACCCATTTTTAACGTGCTTTTCACCCCATCTTATTTGCTTTCCTATCTCAATGTTCAATGAATTATATGGCAACAGGGCCGGATTTACCTATAGGGCACTGGGGCACTTGCCCATAGCGGCAAATTTTGAGGGGCGGCAAATTTTGGCACTGGATTAATTGAAAGTTAAAGCGAGAAAAAAGGAAAAATGGAGACAGAGACGGAGCGAAGTGAAAAGATGAGCGGAAAAATGTATGAAGGAAGGGAGTTGACGCTTTACGGGAGCGGCAAAGCTGCCGCCCCTTAGGTCCGGCCTTGAGCGCTAGGATGATCGTTCGTTGGAGTGTTACTAAACAACACGGCAATTTTAAACATCGAGGCAGACTTGATAATCAATTTAGACGTTGATGCTCTGGTTGACAGCTTTGCTAAACTGAAAACCCGGAGAAAAACTTTTTAACCTGATCTTCCGAAAATACATTGCAACTAATACATTGAGCTACACTAGTTTAACTTTGTCTCCACATTTTATTTTTGTCTCATCCATCCATTCCATTTTATATATTCGCGGCGCATTTTGAAGCAGCTACGCGCACGCGCCCAGGAGGCGCACGAGGGGGGGGGGCAAGATGAGGTGGCGTGGAAAGTTGGGAGTGCGGAGAGGGGGAGGGGGAGGAGGGGATACTGTTGATAATAAAGTGGCGAAATATTGCAGACCCAGGGGCGGCAAAATGTAGCTTGCCCAGGGGCGGCAAAAAGCTAAATCCGGCCCTGTATGGCAATGTCAAATATTGCATCACAATTTAGCCTAGTCAACCCCAATTTCCCTGCTTGTCCTCGTGCTATAAAACCAGGACTTTTCTTCCCTCTGCGGTCTGTAATCCATTGATTTCAAACTTGGTGGTCCGATTGGACTGCTTCTTTGAATCGGACAAGTAATTTATGTTGTCCTGGCGGCTTCAGATAAATCCTGTGTTATCGAGGGAAATTTGGAGAGGAATGTGAATGAGATGATGGATACCTCTATTTTTTTCAGTTTTCTTCTATTTTCGGTAAAGCTGACAGTTCTCCCAGTTTTATGGTTTCAAGAGGGTGCCCCCAATTCCCGGTTGCTTAATTGGGACGTCTCTCAGGGTTGCTGGCAGTTTGGAAAACTGGGAAAATCAGGGAATGTTGAGAAATTTTTCACGGCTGAAAAAAGTCAGGGAATTTCTGACACATCCACAATTCACTGTTTACCCTCTCCGGTCATATTCAAGGCTAGCCATCTTTTAATCAGCATCTGAATGCTTTTTTCCATAATTCGATCTCCAAACAAGGAAATCCTGCCCGAAGTCTAGCTAAAGTCAGCATATTAAAAGAAGAATATAAGGAAATTTTGTTCGGAGGTCAGGGAATAGCTAAAGAAAAGCAAAAATGGGCAGGGAATTTTGACAATGATAATGGCAACCCTGAAATCCCTCCAAGATTTAAAACTTCTTTAGGGTTGCCGGCTGTCAAGAAAACTGGGGAAGTTAGGGATTATTTTAAGGTGCGTCTAACACCACTGAGTGAAACTCTGAGGAACAAAACGTAAATGAAAGCTATAAGGGAAAGTCAGAAAATCTCAGCATTTTGGAGTCAGGTTTAAAGCATGAATAATCAGGGATTTGACGATTAAGAATTAAAAAATTATGGCTACCCTGAGGCTTCCGAAACCGCGCGTGTAATTTTAAAATTGAAGAAGACTTGTTTACAACCCTGACAAACGGATTTGAGAATCATAGGCGTAGTTTTCGCTGCGACTCAGGTCTAAATTTTAGGAATCAAGGAAGATTGACACCTCATTTCATGTCCTCCAGAAACGACATCGCGCACGAATTCGGTACTGCCGTGCCGAGGAAAAACGCCGTATGAACATTCGAGAGTTGCCACATTTTCTTCAATACAATGTTTAATTTCGAGGGAAGTTATGAATATTTCTCCTTTACATTTACAGAATCCTTGGATGAAATTGCGATCAAAATTAAGTATCTGATGAAAATTGGGAGGAATATATTCATGAGAAGAAAAGAAACACTAAGAGGTGGCCCGAAACTGTATGTAACAAGGTGGAGAAATGGTGCTGGGTCCACACCATTTCGCGGGGAAATCAAAGCCAAGGAGTTCCCAAAATCAAAATTAGAGTCAGAATTATTTTTGAGCTCTAATACGCACCAGTACGAAACCGAGGGGGGATATAGATCTCTCGACGTGACTCCAACTTAATATTCCTCTGTAAACTGCCTGAGCTGAACACTCTCCCCCCTCAGTTTCTTACTGGTGCGTATTAGAGCCCAAAAGTAATTTTGACTCTAATTTTAATTTTTGGAACTTCTTGGCTTTGATTTCCCCGCGAAATGGTGTGGACCCAGCACCATTTCTCCACCTTGTTATATATTCATGAGTTAACCAGGATATTCGCGAGTTATCAAAGGAAATTCGGCAACGAAGGCTCATACGGCGTTTTTCCCTAGCACGGCAGGGTAGGGCCGGGCACGCACGTGCGTCTTGTTTTCGGAAGGTGCGACGGACGGCGCCGGCGTCGCGCAGCGTGTCGGGCGCCGGCAACCGCGGCGCATCTGGGAGTCATGGCGTCCGCGGCGGGAATGGAGCCGGGAAGCTTCGCCGGCCGCTGGATCGGGAATTCTTCCTTGCGTCAGCTTATTGCGTCTTTCAGAGTTTTCGGCCCCGGCTCCCCCCCCCCCNTCGCGGGTTCGGGGCCTCCCCTCGTCCCCCCCGCGGGAGTCGAGTCATTGACTGGAGCCAAGGCCCGGACCCCCCGTGCAACCTTGAGAATCCATTCTTGGTTTTCCTTCGTTGTACTCGGAGGAGCCATTGACTTGCCGGCCGGCGAGTCTCGTCCGAGTTGGGGCCCGGGAAACCGGAATTTTCGCGCCGGACTCCAGCGTCCGTCGTGTGGCTCGACTGTTGAATCGTTATCGAATGACCGTAATCGATATTTAGCGTTGTTAAGATAGGGAGTTATCGATCAAGGACATTCGATAGCGATTCAACAATCTGCCCGCTGCTGATCATTCACCAACCCCATCGGAGATGAACTGCATTGTGCGCCGGTGATTATCTCGGCTCGCCGTAGTAAGATTTTCGGTGAAGATTTTTTTTCGCAGCTTCCGGCATCTTCTATAAGAAGCAGGCAATATTCTGTCATTCTTTGAACAGTTCTCCTCATTGGCATCTTGCGTTGTGGTCACATCCAATCCTTGGCACCTTTGTTAGTCACCCAAAAAGTTTTTACTACACGGAGGATAACCACGTGTATTTGGCATTTACGGTGCTTACTAGGATATGTATTCCCACTTGAGAGCCATTGTTGCCTCGGAAACAACCCAACTTGGCAAAATTGGAAGTTTCGTTCTATCGTGTAGAAATAGTTTTTAGAGTCACGCCCATCTTTTCTTTCATTTTTATTTTTTACATCTCCATCGGGAAAGGTCCCAAAATGACTCCGAGGGATTGGAAGTTCTGTTCGTTTTTTGAAAGCGAACTTTACTCCAATGTTTAAGAACGTGTGTATTGAATCATTTATGGTCTGAAAAGTCTTTTAATTTTGGATACAGGGCTCTTTTTTGAAACTCCATAACATGCGCCTACATTTTTTCCCCCTTTATCAAACATTTTTCAGTTTTGAAACAGTTTCCAAATCGAACACTTTTGGCTGAACTCTGTTAAATTCGTTTTTTTAAAGATTTTTCTCCTTTTTTTATTGAAACTAGTGGAATAAATATTTTTGAATCCCACTTGGCAACGCCCTCGACACGCCTAAATGTCCCTCCCATTATTTTCTTCTTCTTTGGTCTGTTTCATCACACAGCACAGGTAGGATGGGGTGCTATTCCCAAACTTGTCGCTTATCTCATCTCAAGTATGAGAGAGTACTTTATTTGCATTTGTCTCGGTAGCGCCTCGTTACATCGATTCGTCTCCCTTCCGTTTTCAGGGTTGCCGAAATCGACCCAAGTTTCATTTTTTTTCTCCCCTCACTGTTTATCCGCGGAATTGAACGTGCACATCTGTGCGCACCTTCTCCTAGATCAATTTAGTGTAGTATTGGTGGGAAATTGGTTTCGTTTTATACGATAAAGAATGTCGCTATCTTGAATCAAACTGACCGTAGACTTCATAAATCGACCGTGGTGTTGACATCGATGGGAAATTGGTTGGTTTTTGGACGATGTCCATCAAACTTGAAGTAGGTGTAGTTTGGTAACTTGTGGTAATCCTGCCGTTAACGTAACGACGCGCTAACGTTAACGTCGTAACGCGATCCAAACCGACCACAATCTCTTAAAATGTTGTAGTATCAAGAACTTGTAGAGATATAGATTCATCAGGGGACGGAAATATCAGGGGACGGGTGCTCTGAAGCGGATATCTCTGCTCTCTTTGCTCAAAGATAATTATTTTTCTTTTTTTAAATTTTCTGATCCCTGTGGAGTTCGCCTTGAAGAATAAGACGAAAGTTGGAAAAGTTGACACCTCCTTAGAACCAAATAAATTATGTTTTTCAAGAAAATGCTGAAGGAAATGAGAGGAAATGA